TTATGGGTACTAGACAACTGATAAACATACTTGTATATTTTTAAATACATAAATATTATAGATAAATTACACCCAGACACAGAACAAATGATCGTGTTCATCACACAAACATTTGTCCTGGGTGGGAATCGAACCCACGACCTCTGGCATAGCAGTCAGGGTCACTAACCACTAGACCAACAGGCCTGTGGCTGTAAAAATACCTAAACAGTTTAGTGAGTAAGTTTTTACTTCGTCGCACATTGTCAAACGAACCAAAGACCGTGCGGACTGCTAACGCTGCCTGCCGCCAACCGCCATGCCACCCTCGTGCAACGTTGCCACTCTACGTTTACGTTTCTACAGGTACGTTTTTTTTTATAGGAGAGGGGGCAAACGAGCATGCGGCTCACCTGATGGTAAGTGACTACCGCCGCCCATGAACAACTGCAACACCAGGGGAATCGCAGATGCGTTGCCGGCCTTTTAAAAAGGAGTACGCTCTTTTCTTGAAGGTCCCTAAGTCGTATCGGTCCGGAAAAATCGCTGATGGTAATCGATTCCACAAGGAGGTCGTGCGAGGAAGAAAACATCTTCTAAATCGCACAGTGGTGGACCGCCAATCATCCAGATGGTGTGACTGGTATCGGGAGTTCTGCCGCGATGTGCGTTCGTGAAATTTGGCGGCTGGGATTAATCCGAACAATTCCTCAGAGCACTCCCCATGATAGATGCGAAAGAAAATGCAAAGGGATGCAACATCTCTTCGCAGTGCCAATGAATCGAGCCGATCGGAAAAAACGCGGTCGTCGACGATTCGCGCAGCTCTGCGTTGGATGCGGTCAAGTGGAAGGAGCTGGCACTGGGGAGCCCCTGCCCAGAGATGGGAACAGTATTCCATGTGAGGCCGAACTTGCGCCTTGTAAAGTTGCAAGCGGTGTGCCGGCATGAAATACTGTCCCGCTCTGCTGAGCACGCCAAGCTTTTTAGAGGCCAATTTGGCCTTCTCTTCCAAGTGACCACGAAACTGCACGTCACTCGATATGTCGACTCCGAGGATACCGATACTGGCTGAGGCAAGAAGGGGAGTGCCTTGAAACTGATGAGATACGACAAAGGGGTTCTTTTTAGCGGTAAACGCGCAAACTTGTGTCTTCTGAGGATTAAACTGGACTAGATTTAGTCGCCCCCAATCCGAGATTTTGCTCAGCAAAGACTCGACTTCAGACACAAGTTTGTTCCGGTACTCAGCGACGTTTTCCCGAGAAATATTGGCACGGCCGGTGTATAGAGCATCACCAGTGCTGTCATCCGCATAGCAATGAATGTTACCAGTTAGCAACATATCATTGATATGCAGAAGAAACAGCGTTGGTGATAGCACACACCCTTGTGGAACACCAGCGTTAATAGGCTTGTAGTCAGAGCATGCACCGTCTACAACGACCTTGATGCTCCGATCTGCAAGGAAGCTGGTGATCCAATTGCACAATTTCTCGGGAAGCCCATAGGAAGGGAGCTTCGAAAAAAGCGCTTTGTGCCAAACCCGATCGAAGGCCTTCGCAATGTCCAGACTAACGGCCAACGCCTCCCCCTTGGACTCTACTGCCTCCGCCCATCTATGGGTCAGGTAGACCAGAAGATCACCAGCTGATCGACCCCGACGAAAACCGTATTGGCGGTCACTAATCAGCTGGTGATCCTCAAGGTACCGGATGAACTGGCAGTTAATAATGGATTCCATTATTTTGGAGAACAAGGAGGTGATCGCGATAGGCCTATAGTTGGATGGGTCTGAGCGGTCGCCTTTTTTAGGGATCGGGTGGACAAAAGCTGTCTTCCATGAATTCGGGACTACGCCTTGGGAGTAGGAGTACCGGAAAAGACGCGTTAGGACCGGTGCCAACTCCGGAGCACACGTCCTCAGCACAATTGGGGGGATTCCGTCAGGCCCACTCGACTTCTGGATGTCCAGGGAGAGCAGTGCTTTGCGAACCGAGCGCTGTGAGAACAGCATATCCGGCATGGAGCACTCACACCGCGGGATGGTCGGCGGTGTTTTCCCCCCGTCATCACAAGAGTCGAGTTGGACGCAAAAAGGGAGCCTAAAAGGTCGGCTTTGTCTTTTGCATCATGGGCCACTGAGTCATCCTCCCTGTGCAGAGATGGTAGTGATGGCTTACAGAAATTCCCTTGGACAGCCTTGGCGAGAGACCAGAATGCACGGGTTCCCGAAGGAAGGCGAACTAGTTTCTCGCCAATTCTGCCTATGTGCTCTGACTTTACCTTGGCAATAACTCTTTTGAAGGACCTGGAGGCGAAGTTATACTTCTTTTTAAGTGTGCTGGTGTTTACATCCCGAGTCGCCGAAGCCGCAGCCCAGGCTTGATAACACTCCTGCTTACTGCGTAATGCAGTCTTACAGGAGCGACCAAACCAAGGCTGAGATCTGCCTCCGATGGGTACCACAGATGATGGAATAAATAGTTCCATTCCCTGTAGCACCACATTAGTGACAGAGTCAGCAACAGCGCTGGGATCGTCCGGCGAGAAGCAAACCCGCCTCCATGGGTAGGATGCAAAGAAAGACCGCATTCCGTCCCAATCCGCCGACCTGTAATGCCAAACACGGCGGCAACCTGCAGAACGCAACCGCGAAGGGAGCGTGGGTGGCACCACACTCCGGATCAGACAATGGTCCGAAGAGCCGCGAGGGGCATCGACGGAAACCTGATATCCGTCCGGATGAGAGGTCAGCAGAAGGTCCAACAGGGAAGGTGTATGATCCTCCACATCTGGAATCCGCGTAGGCGAAGTAACCAGTTGTGTCAGACCATATGCCAAGGCAAAGTCATAAACAGATCTCCCCGCATGATCGGTTAGACGTGAACCGAGCCATTCGGCATGGTGGGCGTTAAAATCGCCAAGGATCACGATCTCTGCGGATGGGACCTGTTGTAGCAAGAAATCTGTAGCCATTTGGACGTGGTCGATGAGTCGGTCTGTTTCGGCATTACCGCTATGGGACCTATAGAGGCACCCGTAGACGCGCGGGTGGTCGTCGCTGTCTACGCGTAGCCAAAGGATGGACAGGTCCGAACCTTCAAGACTGCCGAGGCGTCGAGAACAGATGTCCTCTCTGACATACACGCAAACTCCAGCCCGAGGCACAAAGGAATGCTCCAATTTGTACCCCGGGTAGGAGAGATACGAAATATCAGCCGGAGAGGAAACCTGCGTCTCGGTCAGAAAGAGCAAGGCCGGCTTCGCCGTCTCGAGATGGTAGTGGACGGCGTTTAGGTTAGAGTGAAGTCCCCTGAAGTTGCAGAAATTCACGGGTAGCGTGGCAGGGGTCGCCTTGGTGTTCTCGCTCAGTTTGCCCCTAGCAGTTATGCTTTTGAGCGGAATTTTGCCCCCCCCCCCGAATACGCGGGGCAGCCTGAGCACCCACGCTCAGGATCGGAATAACATGGTCGTGGATGCTCAGCGAGGGATTCTCCAGGGGTACTGGTACCCTGCTGGGGTAGTTCATCGTGTAATTCCGCTACCATGTTGATGGGGGGAGGGGGGAATTGGGCCTCCGGCCACCTGCACTCACCAGACGAAACGCAGAAGCAGAGCTTCTACTTCACGCCGGTGAGGTCGTGGTACCAACCCGGCTCGAGCCGGCCCATACATGCAACAGCAAAAACTGCTGCGTGGCTCTACCACCGTTAAAACAGTGTAGTACGTAGTCTAAACAGTGTTTACTTTTACTGAATTTATTTTAATATTTATCTTGTTTGAAAATTTCACTTTTTTATTTTACGGTTTTTAATTTAATAGATACTTTTTCTACACTTCTATGGACTAGTATCACTTGTGGTTTCATTTATTGCATATAATGTGGATTCCTTACTGTATGAGTAATTTTTAATCACATTATTGCTATTTAAACTTAAAAATTACATTAATAACGCTCATGTTGTTTCGAATTTGTTTACTAACATATCCAAGTCTGAATCCGAGTTGTCGATAGTGTTATAATGGATCTGTGTATGTGTGTGAAATTTTTAATTTATTGTTTTAATTGTTATGTGTGACTTGTAGTAACAGACAATTGTTTTTGTGTGCGCAGATTCCGCCCCTTACACCTAAAAAATATAAGTACAAAAATGAAAAATGACCAATAGTTGAGATGAAATATTTATTGACATTTCATTGTAAAATAAATGTGTGTATATTTATTTTGATATTTAATAAATGAATTAATAATAATGTATAGATTATGTACTATAAATATTATAATTTAATTTGATTCTATATTAATTATCATTTAAACTCCGTCTTAATATGCTACGCCCGTACAGAGTTGTCGCATGCTCTGTAAATATATTGTAATAACTTTATACTTTGTGACATGCAATAAATGAATTATGTCTTGTGTATCTGCATGACATAATAGTATTCAGCACACCTCTCCAGGAACATATGACCAATCTAGAGAATGTTTTTCAGAGACTCAGAGATTCAAACTTTAAAATTCAAATGGATAAATCGGAATTCTTGAAGCTGGAAACAGCTTACCTCGGCCATATCATCAGTAAATATTGAATAAAACCAAATCCCGACAAAATATCCGCCATAGAGAAATACCCTATTCACAGAACACCAAGGGAGATAAAGCAATTCCCAGGTCTATATAGGTTGATCCGTGATACGCTATACTACATACTCGATAAATATCGTAATCCTTGATTACGATCCAAATATCGTGTGTAGCATGCGCATATAGAAGATCCCGAGTGAAATGAAGACATGGCTGAAAGAACAAGCATCCAAGCCAAAAATCTTAATATAAAAATTTGTCATTTTGAGATGTTTGTGATTTGTGTTTCTAATTTCTATCTAGCTTGCTACATATTTATTTACCTATGATTTCTATTTAGTTTTTTTTTTATTTTTAGGTTTTTAACAGTACTTTTTTAAAGAGTAAATAATTACTACTACTTTTTACTTTCTTGCTTGAAAAATCTACTAAAATGAACAACGAAAATAAGAACGTCAAGGTACTTAAAATATCAAACTGTATCCATTCTTATTTGTTTTAGAAATTCTTTTACTCAATATAATTTTTGCTTTGTTAATAGGAGGGAAAAGGTATAATATTCGGCCACAACCCGTGTCAAACTGGTGACGCAAAGTGGATGTGCCTCGAAGATATTTATCAGAAGTTTCATCGACCTAACGTCTACGACATTGGCGGCACGACCATGGAAGATGTTGCAGATTACTGGTTTATGTATATAACAAAACAAGTAGGGAATATATTTCTTTTAGAACTATTTATTTGCAGTCGACAAGAAGGGTCATTCAATGTTGCATTAAGTAGTTCCAGTGAGTTAATATTTGATAGGAAAAGTGACATTGTATACCTTGATACTACTCTTAAAGATTATCAATTAGAAAAAGAGAGTAATCTAGCCTTTAATTATGTTACAACTTATAACTTTACTGATCTTGATGTTGATTTGCTCAAAGATAAGAAGCTCTATATAGCAGTATCATTCCGCAGTCCCCCAAAGATAGATTTAGATCAGAATATTATTGATTTTGTTAAATGCAATCACGACTTTGGTGCTTTATTAGAAGATCCAATAGATGCAGACTTTACAATAGAATCTTCTGAAGGAGATAAGTTTCAAGTCCATAAAGTTATTTTAGCTTCCCAAAGTGAAGTATTCAAGGCTATGCTAAAGGAAGAAACTGCTGAAAGTCAGAATAATTATGTCAAATTAATTGATGTTTGTACGGAAGATCTACAATGTTTAATAGAATTTATTTACACAGGAACTGTGAAAGAATTGGAAAATAGAAACTGTTTTAATTTGCTTATACTGTCAGATAAATACAACTTGAAAGGTTTAAAAGATCTTGCTCAGTATGCACTTTCCCTCCAGCTATCTACTGATAGTGTTTTAGAAATACTTGTGTTAGCTGATATGTACAACTCGGACACACTTAAGTTTAGTGCCCTCAAATTCATTAAAAAGAATGTTACTGTGCTGGGCAACAGCATGTTCGACGAGATAAATAATGCAGAATTAGTAAGAGAGCTATGTAGATATCTTGTTACTTAAATATGAGAAACTGCAAACATGATCAAACATTTTATTATATATTACAGAATGTAGGTGTTAATTAATTAAAATATTCAAATACAGTAAACATAGAAATAAACTTTATTTGTATTGAAAACACAACTGTCAAGTTAAATAAGGAGTAAAGTATATATGTAGTTGTATCAATAAATATTATAATTAGTTAAAGTTACTGGTCAGTAGAGTAGCTTGCAGGAGGCGAGCCCCCATGCCGCGGGGCGCTCGGCTCTGTGGGCCTGATCGCGGCACACCGCTGACATATGATCATTTTGGAATGTTACTTGAGGTCTTCGTCTCTGCGACAAACAAACATTCCTCAATTAAAATGTTAGTTCTTAATCCTTTAGTATGTGAAATACTATGTACTGTAAGTACTGCTTTTAATTCCTAACTGAATTACTGTGATCTTTTTATTCGAACTATATTGTACATATAAATTGTGTAATTTGTCAACAAATAATTTTATATATTTAAAGTGTTTTTAAGAAAGTAATATATATGGTAAAAATATTTTGTATTAATTTCAGCTTTGATGCAATATTATATAGCATAACTTCTACTTTCTGCAAGTAGCGAACAAGCTAATAAAAATGATATATATTTATCATTTGAACTATTCAATAATGCTTTAAGCTCATGTGCAACTTGTATATTTTATATGAAAATAATAAAGATACAGTATACAATATCATGGTGTTATAAGTGGTTAACATGCAGGATAAGCAAGAAAAAGGCCAATAGTTGTCATAATATTTATTTAAAATTACTGGAACCGATACAATTACGAAAAAAAGTCATCAAGACACAAACGCGCAATGTTAAACGACTATTCATATCCTAAATGGTTATCGGATATAAAAATAAAAACTTACAAGACCCTACCTTAGTTTCAATTTTATAAATATATAAACTACAAATACAATGGCTATTAGATGTTGCCATTGTCCTATTTAACAGTACAAGAACACCATGGGTTTGAAATGATTTCTATGTAAGATGGAATTATTTTGAATACATGTATGAAGCTGTGACAATATGAAAGTGTAAATTTATTATAACATAAGTTGAATGAAATATCAAGTGAAGGTATCTTCGACAGCAATGTTTGAATGACTACTTACTGTACAAGATGTAGCAATACGACTAATTAACTAAATCATACTTGGCTATTTTTACTACTTTATAAGATGATAAAAGAATGTTCAGGCCATTCTCATGATAGAGGACCTTTTTACATCAGACAAATATCACTTATGTTTCTTGTCCTTTTTCAATGGGTGTTATCTCACCACCATATTATTACAGAATTCTGCTCTTAATATTAATTGATACAGATCCTCCATACAGTCATGATGGCAACTAGGGCTTTTTTAGAACCTATCCTGTTTAACACATTAAGCAAAATTAAATGTTATTCAAAACTAAGAAAATTGTTAAAATTAGAATGAGTATGAGAAGAAACAGATTCTCACTATGATTTAATTAACTTTAATTTCATAAAGCATTATGATTAAAAAGAGTGTAGTAGGTATGGGATTTACGTGGCAGTCTCATTAAGTATTAATAATTAACAATCTGTATAGCCAAGGTTTAGGTGTGGACACATTTTAGTAATATTTTTGTTAAATTTGTCACATTACTATGTCTCCAGTAGAATAATATTAGGTTAAAATCTCTGCATATAATTGTCTATTTAGCTATGGAATGTTTTTAAAATATTGCCTTACAACTTTTTTTACCATTTAATGTTTGACTGCAAACCTTGGCCATGTCAAGTCTGTCTGTTCTATTAGCATGATTTCTTTTGGGGAGCATCTGTATCAATGTGCAGTTGTGGGCGCGTGATCTCGCGCATTGGCGCGGCCCTAGCGTTTACCGTTGTTATACGCGAGATTCCGAAGCGGTGGCTTGAAGTTAGCAGCTGCCTGTTGTTGAATCTGGTAAGCGAGTGGATGGATCTTGAATCCATACAATCTAAAGGAAAACAAAGTATTTTACATATTTGATTTTAATTCAGTGTGCAAATTATACTTTAACTACACAGTTTAAGCAGTTATCATCAGATCCTAAACAGATTTTAAGTTAACATGTTTTTCCAATGTTATGATTTTATACATTCTCCCTTTGTGAATGAATATTCATGTTAAACATTTTAGACATAAGTCTGAGAATATTTTGAGTATTTCTGGTGTAGATTCTTCCCCTTAATTGACTTTTACCATAATTACTTAATGGGGATGGCATGCCATTTTCCCACATGGTGACATCACAGTAGTTAACATGTGTAACAACATGTAACAATGTTAAAAAGAAGTACATAAAATATTCTGACTTCAATGATCTTACTATTATTTAAGATCCTCTGTATTGTACAATGTACTTACTTGGAACATTCTTGTTTATACTATACATTTTGAAATACCATACACAAAACATGATGACTAATAAATTCAAATTCAAAATATTTATTGTAAGTGTTAAATTTGGTGTTAACTTAAAATATAGCAAGCATGTCTTACAATTGAACCATTCTTTTCAAGTACAGCTATTAGCTAGCCATTGAATATTTTATTTACAATCAATATAACCAAGAAACTGGTCTTTTTTTATAATTTCCAAGGTTTGAAGCTAATTAGAGGGGATCCTTCAGTTAGCATAATTAGTAGTAAAAGACTCACCTAGGTACAAATTGTGAGGCAGGACGCTTTGGTCGGTACTCAGGATGCACCATGAATACCATGTGCGGAAAGCCAGTTCCAAAGTATGCGCCGTCAGTGTGATGGTGTCGTGAAGATTTCGGCGTGTACACATCCATACAGCGGGGGCAGTAGAGTTTTACCATAGCTTCACCGGGAACATCTGATAGTCCTGGGAACAAATGTAATAAATGAGTAATTTCGTACATTTATGTGTATTCTACTTAAATAAACAAACACACACAAACAGGCACAGGCCTCCAGGAAGTTTAAGGGCAAGGAAAAGTCTGCCACGCTAACAGAATGCGTGTTGGCGAACTTCAATCTCCGAAATAATTTATTTTCTTATTTCTCAGACATGCAAGGTTCCTCATGGTGTTTTACTTCACTGCGAAGCATGTGGTAAATCAGTGCTTAAAATTGCAATTAACAATGATTGATATATTGTTATCTGGTCATACTCTATGATATATTATCATATTTAAAACAAACTTTTAAAACTTTGATCATTATTGGAGTACGGGACTTGAACAATATAACAGAAATAAGGAAATTAAATTTAATTGGAATTCTAGCTACGCAACAGCAAACAGGGTAATGTCACTGTAAAGTCAAGATATAAATCAATATATTATATAATCTTGGTTTTTGTTTTATTTTTAGGTTATGTTTTTAATATTTTGCAATTTATGTTATAAAGTTTATACTCTACTTATGAAGCATTTAAAAATTAAGCTTATATATTATTTTTTGTGAACATGTGTTGTTGTAATTACCTCTGGCTGTCCTTAAAGAAATAAAATAAAACAAATATTAAAACAGCTTACCGAGTGGGAGCATTGGTTGACATTCACAGTAGACTCTTGGACAGTGACCAAAATCTCCCGCTTGAAATTTCTCTAGCATTTGCCCAATGCCTCTGCACATATAGATATCATATTATAATATGTTTACTAATGTGTATAATGGTAACATACAACAATTTACTCCTAAAAGCCCTACTAGTCAAAGACTTAATTCAGAATATAATAAAGCAGGGAAGGAGTTGCCAACAACTTTAGTGCTTATTGACAAACTTTATATCATGTTGTCTCTCAGAAATTTCCCTTCATTGGAGTGTGTAGTAAATTAGCGCATATAATTGCAATTTACAATTCAGTGGACCTGGCAAGTATAACACTTTTGTGTTGCTTGCATATTATGCTATATCAATGCTCAGCGCTGAAGCCATTATAGCTCATAAATATTGTGGTTGTCTTCTGATTGTGATAAAATAATATTTAAATGATGTAGCTTTAGTACACAAGTACTTTGTCTCACCATTGTTTGAACGTTATACTATTCAGTCTACCTGATGGTAAGTGGATGTTGTGGTCCACAAACATCTAAATTTATTCTCAATTAAGAATCAAAATGCAGATGCATTATCATCCCTGAGAACTAACATGGAATGCTTGTTTACAGTAAAAAGGGTCTCTACTTCTCTACATTCACTATATGAAACACAGCAGCATTTATAGCTGATATTTGGTATTCTGTGAGTGTGGCCCTACCCCGGTCAAGCCGATCCATTTGTGCTACAACCATAATATAACTGAAGCGTAGCTCTTCCTGTAAAAAATCTACCACATCTACTATCCCAACCCCATGATGACGGCCTATGGTTATGATTAAAGATGTGTCAATTGTTCAAGCAATTATTGGTGATATGGGTAATGCAGATCGATTATTCGAACGAATCATTTCAGGTTTCAGCACTCTCCGATCTGAGAACAAATCTGTTCTATTTGTTGTCGATGGCATGTGCACGTCATTAAATTTTGAACCAACACAGAAATACTTCATTTCACTGAACTTTTAAACTGTGCCATGGTTAATATTCTGAATAATATTTACTACTTAACTACTTAATAAATGAAAAGCTTTACTTTGTATCTCATATACATGTGCCAAGTCATGTATTATTGCAAATACTTTCCAGGATTATCTCAAACTCAGAAACATCTATCACATACTATATTTTGTATAATAAAAAGAAAAAAGCCTATTCGCATACATACTATTTCATTCACAACTCGCAAAACAGACAATTACAGGTCACAGATTAACAAGGTTAGGTCATCATTGAAAGATTCTGGGTGAAAAATTGATTGTAATCTCAAGTAATCACAATACAGTTCCGAGTTTCTAGAAACCAGAACTTACTGAGTCCGGACTGCTACCGAGAATTTCTTGACAGAAAAACCCAATGACTGATTTTGGCCCGACCCGGAATTCAAACCC